GTTCTAGAGGCCAGACGTGTGAAATGCAGGTGTTGGCAGGGTTGGTTTCTTCTGTAGGTCGAAGGGAGAATCTGTTTCACGCTTCTCTCCTAGCGTCTGGTGGTCGCCGGGACTCCTTGATGTTGCTTCTCTTGAAGATGCATCACTCCAGTCTCTGCCTCCGTCTCCCCGTGGCCTTTTCCCTTGTGCCTTCTGTCTCTGTTTGTCCTTGTTTTTATAAGGACACCAGTCACTGAATTTAGGGCCCATCCCAATCCAGTGTGACCTCATCCTAACTTGATTACAACTGCAAAATCCCTATTTCCAAATAAAGTCACATTCACAGGTACCAGGGGTCAGCACCTTTTGGGGACACTATTCAACCTAGTACAATGAGTCATTCCAATAGACTAACTATGAGAGAAATTACTCGCTATACAAGAACTTAATTAGAAATGAATAACAAACATCCTGTTGCATTAGGAATCTAATATCCACATTTTTTTCTAAATTTCTCTTAAATTTTTTTATCTTCCAATTTGTTCCCTGCTGTGAAAATATTGTTCTAATATTCCTAAGACTAACTTCTACTTCTAGAAAACCACTCTGCGGCTTATGACCGTAGTTAGGGACATCTACAGAGAGGAAGCGGCCAAAAAGTTTCTTTTATAAGACTGGAAGTGTCCTTTGCAAGACATAAGCCTCCACTTACACTTGTGCCACTAGATGGGGTTATTGGCTTGGTCTCTAACAAATGTTGGTAACTTAAAATCTAAGAGGAGCTACATTTCAAAAGATGTAGCTCTTTGCTAATAACTCTATGTCCAGATGCTATGTTACCTACTGTGGCAGGAATGATGACCCAAAGCTACAAATTCAGATCTGCAAAAAAAAGAAAAAAAGTTTTTAATTCTGTCTTACTGGACTTTTTTTTTTTATTTTTTTGGTGTGGAAGATTGGCCCTGAGCTTACATCTGTTGCCAATCTTCCTCTTTTTTATTTCTCTCCCCAAAGCCCCGGTGCATGGTTGTATATCTTAGTTGTAAGTCATCCTAGCTCTTCCATGTGGGATGGTGCCACAGCATGGCCAGATGAGCAGTGCGTAGGTCCACACCCAAGATCTGAACTGGGAAAGCTGGGGCCATGGAAGCAGAGCAGGCAAACTTAGCCACTCAGCTGTGGGGCTGGCCCCTGGACTTAATTTTTTATTTTTATTTTTTGCTTTCTCTCCCCAAATGCCCGCAGTACATAGTTGTATATTTTAGATGTAGGTCCTTCTAGTTGTGGCATGTGGGGACACCACCTCAACATGGCGTGATGAGCGGTGCCATGTCTGTGCCCAGGATCCGAACCGGTGAAACCATGGGCCACTGAAGTGGAGCATGAGAACTTATCCACTCAGCTACGGGGTGGGTCCCTGGACTTAATTTTTTTACCCCAACACTCCATTTCTATCTCATGGAAGAAATTTTAATCTAGTCATTTTCACCTGAATTCAGTCAAATTCAGTCGTCTTTTCATAAATCTTAGGTTTAGGGCCATCACTTTCAGGCTTGTTCCCTTCGCCCTTTCTGTCCTGGGCATTCATGTGGTCCTGGTGTGCCTTATGCCCAGGCAGGCATGGCTGTGCCTGCACATTGACTTGTAGCTGAGGCGCCATTTCCTGCGAGAGGGGCCTCTTGAGGATCCCCAGCTCCTGCTCAGCTGACTTCTGTTCTCTTCCCCGCTGCAAGAGGAAGAGCACCCATTTAGCTGTTCGGATGGCTTTTTGGGTCATGGGGACTGTCTGTGAGGCTACTTTAGGCCCCTGATGTGCACGCTCCGTAAGCAGCCACCTCAAGCTTCCATTTGACCACTAGTGCTAATGTGAGCGACTTTTTGGACAAGCTGGCCTGTCAGGGAACTCAGGTCTACTCTCCTAACACTGAATTTATCCTGTGTGTGTGTAGGCGGATAGTTCTACTGTCACACTCCCCTGTGGCCAGGCCGAAGGAGGAGACAGGGATCAGGGCATTGTCTCCGGGACACTCATCAGTGCTAATCCCGCGGCGTCCTCTCCAGCTCTAGCCTTTCTCCCCCGAGTTCCACTCCAGTGTTGGGTGACGGGAGGAAAATGGGTTTCCAAATCTTTCCTGTCTTTCTCTTGAACTGTGACTTTAGAATAAAAAATTTAGCATCCTTTTGTTTGTTGTGGTTCTGCTTCCCCTCAGAGTGATTATGGCTTCACATGCTGGGTGTGAACGGAGGATCGGCACAGATTTAGAAAGAAGTGGGGGTGGAGGGTGCAGCATGTCGCAGCATAATCTAGTTCTCACTCACCTTTCTTTTCTTTTTGTGAGGAAGATTGTCGCTGAGCTAACATCTGTGCCAATCTTCCTCTATTTTATGTGGGACCCCGCCACAGAGTGGCTTGATGAGCAGTGCTAGGTCCATGCCTGGGATCTGGGCCTGCAAACCCGGGGCTGCAGAAGTGGAGTGGGCAAAATTAACCACTACACCACCAGGCCAGCCCCTCTCCCACCTTTCTTTTTACAATTCTCGCTCCATCTACTTTGAAGTGTCCTCTTCCTCCACTTAATTGCAGGTCTTCCACAAGTATTTCTCTATAAAGTCTCTTCTTTCGTAATCTCCCCTCACTCAATACCTTCCACATTTCCCTCTCTGTTCTAATTCTCAATTCTGTGCTTGAATCCTGAACTGGTTCCCAATTAAATATTTTTGGACAAATGTGCATCAGGATCAGAATTAGTTTTTATTTACTTAGGCGTCTAAACTGCCCCAGTTTTAGACCCCTCAGTGCTCCAATTATTCTGGATACAGTGGATTTCCCTGTTTTCTATTAAAAAATCTTGAATTTTCAAATTCCTAGATTCTTAACTGAAATTATTACCATTTTTGCCTGCTGTTCATATTTGCAAGGAAGCTGCTCTTATTTATTTGAAGTTTAGTTTTGAAGAGTAGCTGTCTGCTGTCACTCATGACTGGATTTGATACCCTTCTCCTCAGCTGCCCCAAGGCCTCTTTGCACTGCTCTAGAAGCTGTCCTGTCCAACCCAGTGGCAATATTTCCTGGCAGTGCTGTTGCTGGCAGAACTTTCCAGTCAGAGATGACCCTTGTGCTTCTGATGCAAGACTCTCCTGAGCAAAACCAGTGTGGAGGTTGAGCCTGGACCTGGCAAGCAGACCGCCTGGGTTCAAAGTGTGGCTGTCGCTAACTACCAGCTCCGTGACCTTGGACAAATTACGTACCTTCTGAGTTTCCTCACCTATAAAACATGGATCAGAATACTCCCTAATTCATTAGGTTTTTGTGAGGATTAAATGAGTTAAACTGTGAAAGAACTGCTTTATACTAATAACTACGTAAGTGTCTATTATTATAACCAGTCATCTTTTACTGTTTGAGCCCCTCGTCTAGTCATCAGCTTTGACTTCTCACAGCTGGTAATCTCTAGTTATTAGGCCAGACCAGCTGTTTCATTTTTTTATTTCTTTAAAAATTCAACTTTTTCAGTTAAAGATGGAATATATCTTGTACATTTCACACACACACACACACACACACACACACACACAGCTTAAGCACTGATACCCATGGTAATGATTTCCTTCCCACGGCTATTGAATAATAGTTATGAAAAGGTTTGTGCTTGGCCTAGGTTAGGGTCAGCAAGAGAGAAGGCATGAGTGGGATGTTCAAAGGAAGGAGGCAGGACTTGGTGACCCAGTGAATACAGAGGATCTGGTCGGTGAAGGAATCAACGCTACTTTTAAGGGACCAACCTGGGGTGACTGGGAAATTGAAGATAGGGGTGCTGTATTTATCTATTGCTACATAAAAAAAAATTACTCCAAAACATAGTGACTTAAAACAACAAGAGCCATTTATTTTCTCTCATTGTTTCTGTGGATCTCAGCTGGAAAGGTTGAAGGCTCGGGACTCGAAGCGTGTGAGTGCCTCATTTATATTTCTCCCTGGACCTAGCTCAGGCAGTCACATAGCCTCACTTCTGCCACCCTCCAATGGTGGGGGAGTCAGTATTCCCCACCCAGATTCAAGGAGAAGGAACTCAGACTCCACCTCCGGTGAGAGGAGGGAGCATCAGTCACATTGAAAGAAGAGTTTGGGGGGGGGGGGGGGTTAACTATAAGGCGTTACCATCTTTGACCAATACAATCTCCCACAGCTGCCAACAAAACATAATTAAGGGTGGGGATTTTACTTTAGAAAACACATGGGTTTGGCTTGGAAGAAGTTGACTTGACTGTTCACTTTGTACGTTGTCACTCCTATCTTCTATATGACAATCAATGTAAAAGAAAATCGTGTTACAAAGTCACAAAGATTTACTGTCTCCGGCTGAAGACCCAAAGTTAAGTTATGGGTTCCCCAAATGTGAGAATAATCATAGCTAACATTTACATCGTTCTCTGGGAAAAGGTACAGGAGAGCAACGCACTATCATGATATAAGTTCAGACCCCAGCCCTCCCACTTTCTGTGCAAACATAGACAAAAAGTTAACTTTGTCCTTGCTGTCTCATTACTTAACGCGTGGATAACAAGAGCACCTAATTCATGGAGTCTTTGTGAAGGTTAAGATAATCCTCATTTTGTTCAGTTAAAGTCTGCTTTAATCTGTATTTTTTTCCTCTTCTCGTCCTGCTACTGAAAAACGATTGCACAATTATCATAAATTAAAAGCTAATCGAATTGCTTAAAAATATCTGCATGAATTTCCTTTGTACTTTGCGGGTATCAGTGAGAAAGGCAGGCTCAGTGAACCGAACAGGCCCAGGTTACACAGACACCACTGGCCTCCGCGCTCAGAAGCGGCGGAAACGGGAACCAGCGGCGCATCACGCGCTCGATGACTCGAGCGCCAGCGTCCCGGGCCCCGCGCCTCTTCTGACAAATTCGCCGGGCCGGCGGCTCCCGGGTTCCAGCGCCAGGCCCCGCCCCTCCCCGGGCTGGCGGCCAATAGGCGCGGCCGTCGCCGTCCGTGGCGGCTATTGGAGGAGGCGGAGGCGGGGCCGGGGCGGTGCCGCTCCAGGCCGCGGGGCTAGCTGGCCGCTCCGAGCCGGGACTCGCTGCGCGCGCCCGCCCCGGCCGCCTCCGCCCTTGAAGTCCCCGGTCGGCGCCTGGCGACCATGGCCCTGCTGGCGGCCCTTCTGCGCGGCGGCGCCCGCGGCCGCAGCCCCCTGCTTCGGAGGCTGGCTCAGGTGAGAGGGGCTGGGACCCGGGACTCGGCGGCGCGTTCCTCCCTCGGAGCTTCCCGCCCCGGCCCGGTGGCCGGAGGCCTCGGGAAGCCCCCGCGGCTCCCGGCGCAGGAAGGCCACGCGCGCGGAGCTGGCGCGCAGACCCCCGCGGCTGCCCCGCACCAGCCCGACCCCGGGAGCTCTGCTGTCATCGCAGTGATGACTTAACTGGTGTGTTACACGGGACGCAGCTTCTGGCAGGCTGCAAGGCCCGGGATTGGTCCTTGCCGTCCCCGACGGGTGTGGAAGGCCCATAAAACTGCTTCTGAGCTTTCCTTTAGAGCTATGTGTGTGTCACTATGACGGTTTGTTTTCATGCGATGGGTAACCACTGGGCTTACGCTATGTGATAATAAAAAGATGCTCCTTCTCCGGAGCAACCTCAGACTTACCAGGGAAAGTAAATGGTTCCTCATAATACAAGAAATAAATTATACTTGATAGATGAGAAAATTTACATACTGAGGCATCCAGAGGCGTGTTTTTCCTCCGGCTGTTGTGTTTAGGGAACACAGGAGCGACAGCCTTGAAAGAAAGAATTTATTTTCCATCCATCGAAGGAAGGGAGCTTGCACCGCACGGTTAGGGTCTGGCAAACCCTAGGGAGTAGGTAGGGAACTTGGTTAGTGAAGTGTGAGTTTCCCAGTTTGGTGGGGGTCATAAACTTTGAAATCCAGTCATTTTTAAGAGTTTGGATTTGACTCAAGCCAGTGGAGACCGTTGATATTTTTCTTGTTGTCATAATCAGAGGTTAGGGAGGGTTGAAGTGGGGAGAAAACTATTGTCTGTCTGGTTGTGCAGTAATTTGAGCTGGTGTGCTGGCACGTGACAGGGAGCAGCATTACGCAGGAGCTTGTGAAAGAATCAGTGTAGAATTTGACAAATTTGGAGTGGGAGTGGGGAGTCAAGGGAGAAGAGTCTAAAATCCTGGGTGACTGAGATAATAGGAAGTCAGGAGGAGTAGGTTTCCAGGAAAGTTGAGTTCTTAATCAGCATGTTTGTTAGTTTCATGGAGTGACTTTGGAAATCACAAAAATGTAATTAAGTTAACCTGGGTTTCAACCAACGTTAACTAGGTGAATTAGGTGAACTAGGTATTCTAGTAAATTAAAAAAAATGCACCACCTTCTTAATTTATAGTTTAAGAGCTTCTAATCAAACACCAGTGTTGCTGCTGAGAAAAATGAAGCTGTGGGTCATATAGCACATGATTTGTGGTGGTCATTTTATTGCACTCTAGGAGTCAGTTGTATTGGTTGTTACTTGAATTAAGTGGTCATTTACTGAACTGTGGAAATCTGTTTAACAGGCTTTTCAGTATTCAGTGCCATTTTGTGGAGTAGAACTTGACCTCTCACCCTTTCCACTGGCTCTTTCCTCTTTGCCTTCAGATACACACAGGTCACCCTTACGGTCGGCAAACCTTTACGGACTTTACCAGAACTTGTTGCCTTTGCAACTCTAATCACTTTTTCTTTCTTTCTTTTTTTTTTTTTTGAGGAAGATTAGCCCTGAGCTAACTACTGCCAATCATTCTCTTTTTGCTGAGGAAGACTGGCCCTGAGCTAACATCCATGCCCATCTTCCTCTACTTTACACGTGGGACACCTACCACAGCATGGCTTTTGCCAAGCGGTGCCGCATCCGCACCCGGGATCCGAACCGGTGAATCCCGGGCCGCCGAGAAGCGGAACGTGCGAACTTAATTGCTGCGCCACCGGGCCAGCCCTAGTGATTTTTTTTCTCTATTTTCTTCCTCTTGACCTTTGTACTGTGTTTGACACTACTGACCATTCCTTCCTTGAAACTCCTGTTTTGCTGTCTTGAACCAAAATTGTTTCTTGTAATACTGAAACTTTAAAAAAATTTGCTGCGTTGTGCCAGTCCTGAGACTCTTTGCTCCCAGATTCCTTTCTCTCCTCTCCCCTGCTCTGTCCGTGTTGCTGTGAGGCTGACCCTTGACCTTTGCCGGCAGTCTTTGGAGTTCCTTGGTTTGTGACACGTCACTCCAGTCCCCCATCCGCACGTGGCAGTCTCCCTGTGTCTTCACTTCATCCTTCCTCTGTGCGTGTCTTGTCTGTGTTCAAATTTTCCCTTTTTATAAGGACAGCAGTCATATGGGATCAGGGTCCCCCAATGACCTTATTTTAACTTGATAACGTCTGTAAAGACCACATTTACAGCTAAAGTTACATTCTGAGGCACTGGGGGTTTGGACTTCTTTTTTGGGGTGACATGATTCAACCCATAACAGAAGGAGTGCTCAACAATGTAAAAATTTAATATAACAAGGTGGTTATGTAAGATTTTAACAAAGGAATTATATAAATGAAATACATAAAAATGAAAGTGTTGATTGAAATTAACACAACTAATTCTTGGAGAGCTTTCTGAAGGCCTGAAGAAGTACGGATTTGGGATATCTCAGTTTTCTCTAAGGGAATTTGGCTTTCCTTTTACAATAATATGCGTAAACACAAGGTATTTTGAGTGCTAATTGCTAAGCCCTCTCTGTACTAAGAAGTTGAAAAGTTTAAAAATGACTCAGTCGATTTTCCAAAAAAAATTTCCTCAATAATGGCTCAATTTCTAATTCATCTGATTGATTTTTACGGTTATTTTGGCATATAGATGTTTCCCACATGTTTTTTTGTCTCCTAAGGTTTCACCTGTATCTACAATGCAGTAATGTAAAGTTGAAAAGCTGTTGAGACGTTTCACCAGTGAAGGATTTCATAAGTAAATCATTAATTCCTGAAAAATATACAGTCCTTTGGAAAGAGCAGTTACCTCAGCTTCCTAAATTTTATTACTATTTTTAATAAAATAATGTGTATAATAAAATATGTAATATGTAAAAGATACAGTATGTGTAACATGTATATATGTATAACATGTAAAATATATGTATGTATGATAGAATCAGACTGCTTGGATTTGAAATCCAAGCTTTGTCCCTTACTGGCTGTGTGACTCTGGGCAGGTTGCTTGACGTGCCTATGCTTTAGTTTCCTTACCTGTAAAATAAGAAAAATAGTCCGCACTGACTGGTTCTCTCTCTAACATATGTTCCAGATCCATCTGTACCCACGCTTCTTGTCACCACCTGCCACCAGCCACATGAGTCTTGCCTGGGCTCCTTCCTGTCTTCCCTTGCCCTATTACAGTCAGTTCTCTACCCTGTGGCGAGTGGTCTTTTTATAATGGAAAAGTCTTCAGTGGCTTCTCATTGCACGGCCCAGAATCCAGACTCCTTCTCATGGCCTCTTTGGTCCCTGCGTCTCTAGCCCCCACTCACATGGTGGTCTCCTGAGTTGTGGCTCCCGTCACGCTGCTCCACTTAGCGTGTGCCGAGTCTGTTCCTCATTCAAGGCCCGTGTGCTGGTTCCTCCCTGTGCCTCCAGTGCTCTTTCCCTAGGTCTTCGCAAGGCTGACTCTGATATTCATTTCTCAGCTCCACTGACATCTCCAGAGAGCCCTTTTTTTTTTTGACCATTCCATGTAAAATAGGGCTTCACTCTTTAGCTCATTATCTCATTTTTCTGGCTTCATAATGAGTTTACTGCACCTGAAATGTTTTTCAGAATTGCTAGTAAGCATCAGACTTTGTTCAAATATTTATTTAGTATCTCCTGCCATCACTGGGGTAGAAAATAAATAAAATCACTCTCTTCTTGGAATTCACAGTCTAGTGGGAAGACAATCAGGCCACTGAGGGTTAGGGTTACAAAATGATGTATTCTGAGAACAGTTAGAGTGTGAACAGGGTGCCGTGGCGGCTGAGATGGGAGTGCCTCCCTCTGCCTGGCATGGTCAGGTGAAGTTTCCAGAGGTGGCAGTGCAGCTGAGCTGTCCCTGAAAGATGATTGTGCTATGCAGATGAAACTTAACTGGGCTGTGTTCATTCAGCACATATTTACTACACACTCTATTTAGTATCCTGACCCTACTCTAATTTTCTCCTTTCTTCCCAAGATAATTTATGAGCCGTAGGCGCTGTGCCACGTGACAGGGCTGTGGCAGTGAATGGGAGACAGTCCTGCTCTCAGGGAGCAGCTTGCATTAGGTTGAGAGGGGTAATAGAGGTGTGAACCCCATATTTACACAGTGTGAGAGGTGCTTTGAAGGAAATAAACATGTTGAAATAAAAGAGAGGCCACCTTTAAATAGAGTAGTTAGGGAGAACCACTGTGGGGATGTGCCATTTGAGCTGAGACCTGAAGAATAAAAATGAACCAGCCGTGGAGAGCTGGGGAAAGACTGTTACTGCAGAGGCACACTGCAAAGATCTGGAGGCCGGAACGGGTTCGGAACAAAGAGGAAGCTGGTGTGGATGGCACAGAGCAAGCATGACATGAGTTTGGAAAGAAAATCGGGGGCCAGACCACGCAGGGCCTTGTGGGGTAAGGGGAGGAGTTTGGAGATCATTCTAAGAGCAGCGGGAAGCCATCAGAGGATTTTAGTCAGGGGAGTGACGTGACCTGACTTATGTTTCTAAAACTGGGCAGACTGTAGAAGGGAATTCACGGGAAGCAGGAAATGAGGTAGAAGCTGTTAGAGTAGCAGGAGATGGGGCCAGGACTAGGTGGACTGTGGAGATGAAGCAAAGTGGGAGAATTTAGGTCCATTTTGCACACAATATTGACAGTATCTGTGAAGGAGTATCTGGGTTTTGGGGAAGGGTGAAGGGTGAGTCCTAAGCTTTTGGCCTGAGCACCCAGGTACATTGCGATGTGATGTCCTGAGGTGGGCAATACTGGGAAGAAGGTAGTTTCCCAGGGTTGGGAATTGAGAGCCATGATCTGGACATTAAATTGAAGCTATGAAGTTGGCACTTGGACATGAGTCTGGAGCTCAATCGAGAGGTCAAAGCAGGAGATAGAAATTTGGAAATCATCAAGACATAAATGCTGCTGAAAGCCATGGGACTAGATAGGATTAAGGAGACAGTGAAGTTGGAGAAT